GGTCTTCACAGGTATTGCGGCTTTAATTCTGGCTAATTAGTTTGGGTATTCTTTAATTCTTTTTGGGGAAAGGGGTACAATTACCAGTTTTGTTTATTCTAAAGTTCTGCTTATTCCAGTAACATTGATTTCCTGTTTAAAGTAGTAAACAAACAAACAAAAAACAACAAAAAGGGAGTGAATTTAGATTTTATTTTTAAGAGCCTGGAAAGTATCATGAACTGTCTGGAGAGTGGGAAATAAAACCAAAGGTAGATGTTTACTGAAGCTCCGCCTAACATTATGTATAACAGAGGCACCACTGCCCATGTTCTGAAGAAGAAAGAACCTCATGGGGCAGTTCCTTTTCAGAAAGCAACAGACCAGACCAGGGCTTTGGAAAGCATGCATTTAGGACAGTACAGCTATTGTCACATCCCTGATGTTAATGTGGTGACTAAGATGGAGAATTAGGGGAACTCATCACATGTCACTTAAATCATTGACCAGCCTGACTTCCTCAATGTCCTTGGGAAATGCTCTTCATTTCAGAAATTTAAAAAAAACAACTGAAAACAGGCCCTGCTTGGATATGAAAAGCCAATCCTTTGCATTCTCACTGACCAACCCCCAGCACCTCTAACTTGGTTTGGGGCTTTGCAATACCCAGAGGAGGATTTGAGCGGCTAATACATGAGAAGGGTTCTGATGACAAGCCATTCAATTTTTGAGTCACAAAGTGAAACAAAAATCTACCATTTTCAGTGCAGAGCATCCTGGCAATAGAAGTCAATAAACTATTCAATTAATACATTCATTAATAAAGCTATTAAAGTTCTAGAAGTTTCTAAAAGGAAATTGTTTTGGAAACCAACAAGAAAAGAAATCTCTCCTTATGTTGCATTTTATTCCTTTCAAGTATGTTCTTCATGTTTAATTCAGGTGTAGCCCATTTTTAACTCAAGCTTCCATTGTGAGCCCTTCTTTATGGGTGTTATATGCACTTCAGAAAAAAAAACAATTTAAATGCGTAGGTGTGAATATGGTTGTGATTTACTAGGCAAACCATTATATTTGGGTTGTTCCTTTTGGAAAGTCTACTTGTAGAAAAGTAATAAAAATATTTTATACCTGCATCAGAGTCTTGATATATAACATTGGAAAGCACAAACTAAATTTTTTCTGCATGAATTTATAATCTCAGGTCTTATTTTTTCTTAAATTCTAGGGATTAACATTGTAGAACAACAGCTTTTAAGGAGATTTTGATTAAGCAAAGATTATTCTGCATCTGAGAGCTCCTAATTTTCCAGAAAGCCTGGCCATCATACAGTTCTTATGGGAAAACAGTGCCATGAACCCTGGGCAATAACCAGTCTGACTCAGGGAAGCAGACCCGGTCCTCTTATGAATCCAGAGGCCAGATGGATATAGTTTAAGAAATAAGAAGTTTGTTTTAACCACCTGCACGTCTTTGGAAGTTGTGAAATGCTAGAACCTGTAAAAACTGACTTCCCATCCTGATTTCTGGGAAATGTTTTTGTCTCATCAGAATAGGACTTTATGATCTCAGCCCATCTCTCTTCTACTTTCTCTTCCTCAACTGCCTTCTTTGCCCCAAAAAGTCCACTGGGTCCTAAAGCTACCAAGTCTGCTCACGGTAACTTTAAATGACTTCAGTATTCTATACTTAAAAGTTATTGGGAGAGTTATCACCAGATGGGAAAAGTGGTCGTTATGTGAAGGGATGGAGATGTTAACTAACCTTATCGTGGTTATAAGTTTGCAACATATACATCTATCAAATCATCAGGTTATACACCTTAAACTTACATATGTTATGTGTCAATAATATCTCAATAAAGCTAAGAAAAAAAAAGATTCCTTCGGCAGCATCGCTCTTTATTTCATCATATGGGGTTTTGAGGTTCCATCTGGAGGTGTAATGCTTACAGGTACAGCCCCTGTGAAAGGATTTGGGGCTTTCCAACTTTCCTTCTCTGTCCTAAAGGGCAAGAAACTGAAGGAGCTATGCCAAGTGACGATCATTAGCTCATTTGACCCAACATTGGTTCCAAAGTATTTTATAACAATTGAGATGCAGAGAAAACATTGCTTCTCTGTGGGTAAATCTATTCGTTCATTTATTTTCCAGGACATTCAGCCTTATGTGTATCTGCCACATAGCTGGGGGGAGAGAAAGGGGAAGGAAGGAAGAAGAGAATTTTAGGGATACGCTGTTGCAAGCACATTTCTAGTCACTTAACTTAGCAGGGTTGTATAGTTTCTCATTCTGTTCACATTGGGTTGGGGGAGTAGAGGAACCATAGGAAGTAAAATGGAAGTGTTTATGTTAGGAAATTAGACAGTTGGCTATTTTCTCCTTGATTCTCTTCTCCTGTTTTAGGATGGTGTGTGTGTGAGAGAGAGAGAGAATGCCAAAGAAAAGAAGAAAGACAGAAGGTAGCAGACTCAGAGAAGACAGACAGACAAAGAGAGAGAAGAATGAATCCTTGTTTCATTTCAGGGAAAGAAATTACTTTCAAAGTTGTAGCAAAAATATGGCTAATTAATCAAGTTAGATTTAAAAGGTATAGGGAAACAGGGTCTTATTCAGACACTGTGTATATGCACATGATTCAGGGAAGAGAAGAGAGATGGGTATCACTTAGCATAGCCAGTGGACAGACGGAGCAGACAACAGGCCATAGCTGCTCTGTATTTAGTGGGGTGCAAAAAGACTATTATGCCTGTCCATGGAATAGATGGGGGGCATCTGTGAACATTCTCTTCTTCTGGTGGTGATGATTAATACTCAATGATCACTTAATGCATACCTGATACTAAGCACTTGATAACAATTGACTTGTTTAAACCTCATAGCATCCTAGCAGATGCCTTCTCTTTGCTCCTCAGTTCCTATACTGGATTTTTCTTTCATTTAAAGATGAGATAACAGGCCCAACAACAGTCAGCTGAACCAGGATTCAAACCCAAGCAGTCAGGCTCTGGAGCTGAGCTGCTGTCACCAAGCCATGCTGCTGTGAGCTCTGATTTCTTAGCTCAGTTTTGCTCAGTTTTGTAGAAGCCGAGACTTTTATTTTTCTAGGAAAGACTTTTTAATCTGCATCATAGCATGATCTGCATCCTAAATGAAGTCACACTGAGAGGACTCCAGGTAACTGTCAAGACACTGTGGCTATTTCAAGGTAAAAACAGTTTATCACGTCACTAAGTGAGTAAGGAATGGAAATTACATTGAGTATCTTAGGTCACTTCTCTAAGTCAGACAAGAGGAGTGGTAGAAAAACTGTTATTGTGGGAAGTCTCTGAGGTAAAGGACTGTGTTCAAATGCAAAGGAGGATTCTGTGGCATTACTAATGTTGCTTCTGAGTCTGGACCGAGCAGCTTGGTGCTGGTGGTGGGAGGCGTGGGGCCTGCCTGCATGCATCCTTCCTCGGCCCTTTTGCAGAGGCAGCCTTTCAAGCTTCACTTTTCCCCATTTCAGGGGGAAGCCAGGCATTGCAGAGGATGAGAAGGCGCTCTTGGCAGCTCATTGTACCTGAGGCATCTTTCGGAGGTCTGACCTTTACTTCCGCTTTTTCCCTCTAACCCTGAATAAAGTTCTGTTGAGATTGGAAATCTGTAAGCCAACCCTAATGTTGTTCCTACGGTTTTGACCACGTCTTTCTAGATCGATGCGTGGCTTATAGAGGGTACAACACAGTACTTCAAGAGTGTGCAAAGTGTGTTCAGAGAAATGCCATCATTCAGCTCAGACAGGGTGGCGGTGGAAATGCAGGACCCAGGCCCTTCCTCCACCTGCTGCTCAGTAGAGCAGAGAAATGGGCTCTGGAAGGGTCTGCTCTAAACTGGGCACCTCAGAGGATGCTTTGCACAGGAAAGTTTGCAAACCATCCTTTGACAGGTTTTCTGGTTCATAGAGACAAACCTCTCAGATAACAATTAGTCAATGCATTTCTGCTCAAGTGCCGCTGTGCTGGGTCCATGTCAGGGCCATGCACAGTGATAACTGTTCCTGCCCTGGCTAGGGACCAAGCTTAGCAAATGAAATTCACATATGCATAAAACAAAGAGATAACAGATTTAAAATCATTAGCCTTCTCCAGCTGTTCCTGAGAACTGTTGGAGATGGGATTTTTGAAAAAGATTTTCCTGAATCAGAAAAATCCTTTTCCTATTTCACAGAGAACTTGACTCATAAGACACTTATTGAAAAGACCTTTCAAAACAGTCTTTAATACAGATATGGGGGTTCCAAACTCTTAAACAAATCACAATGCTTACAAAACCTGAAATACTTGTAATTCTTTGCAGATCATATGGGTAATTTTTGATAGTGCAAACTAAAACAGGACTGAATTTGAGGGAAATTTCCACTAGGTCTAGGAGTTCTCTCACATGGGGATGGAGTGATTAAAAACATAAATTGAAGTGTTGTTATTCACTTAGAAGAAAGAAATATAAGTCCTCTAAATATCTGGCATTTTAATGGGAATACTATACGGGGAATTAAAAAAAAAACCTAGACATATTTCAGAGGCATTTCACATGAGTAGATTGAGAGATATTTTCATTGCCACTAAGGGTAAATTACAAATAATCGTAATGTTTAATGTTGTTTTGTTCCTCAGTAGGATGGATGAAACTTTCTTTGATTCGGTGTTGTGTGTATCATCCCTGATCAACCATGCCTAACAGGCATGTCTGTGATAGTCAAACCAGGAAACCGTCTATGGAAATCAGTGTTGCCCATAGAGAGGATTTGAAAGGAAGGAGCGACACATAGCAGCAATTCACCGGAGAAATCCGCTTTATTAGGGAAAGGTGCTGGGTTATATAGGAAGGGGCATGGGGTGATTGTGGTGTTACTTCTATGGGGCTGGTGGCTGTTGGCTAGGTGCTGGGATTGGGAGGGGGGAGAGAGGTGATTGGGCTTCAGGTGGCGCCGGCGGGAACCGAGGACCCCCCCCCGCCCCCCTCGAAGAGAAGCCGGAAGTTCGCCATCTTACTGGTGGGGGCCCTTCAGGGTTACCAAACACTGCATAGGTCAGACACAGTAAACATCTATTCATTGTTTAACTAAAATTCAAATTTAACTGGCCATACTTTTCTTTGGATTAATTTATTTTTTATTTGCTGAACTGTCAACCGCACTCACTGAACAAAGGAAATAGCACTTCAAGCGATCCAGGGTTCTGAGAACACTCGTTTCTCACTGCATCACCGGCATTGCCGTCACCGTTTACTGAAGGGCTCTGTGTTGTCATCTCTGCCATCAGATGCTGCCGTCCTCCCAGCTGTTGCTGGGAGATGGTTTTCCAGTTTATTAGTGGCTGGGAATTGGCCCTTCTGAGAAAATTAGGATTAAGCACTTGCAGGTGAGCCTGTATCTCCAGGGTCAAATCAGCTCAGGGTTCCCAACTCTCAATCCCTTAAGGGCTTCTGCACGCAAAGGCTCAGATTAACATCAGGCCGACTATAGCTCCAGGGGGGAAAATCCCCGGGGGGTAAAAATACTTTTGAAACTGAACTCAAAGGGAGAAATAAAAGAAACCTGCTTATTTCTTACAAGCAATCATCCCATCTCTCTCTTGACCAGGCTGCAGCAGAAGAGGAAGTGAGCTCCACCCAACCTCTCTGGTCCAGATAAACCCTTTCATGCCCTTGTAGTTACCTACTGATATGTAGAAGGACCAAATCTCTACACCCCTTGGAAACACCTATTGATATACAGAGTAACTAAAGCCAGGAGAGAGATTCTGGAAATACTGCAATTTTACCCACACTGACATATACTTTCACATGCCTTCACACACGCAATGCACACACTCACTCCCCTCTGCCTAGTTTCATAGATAATGTGTTTACTTATCACTTGTTGATTAGACACAGAGTTAATACATTTCTCATATATTGTCTTATTTAATCCTACATCAGCCTTATAAGGCCAATACTATTTTCTCTATATTTTTTAAATGAGACAATTAAGGCTTAGGTTAATAGTTTTAATTCTTCTATACAGTGTGTCTCTCATGTCCATTCTTCCTACATGTCCTCCCCATTCTGTACCTCATGCAAATAAAAAAGGAATTACTAAGGATTTACTATGCAATAAAGAGCCACCCTGGATTTTGGGGTCAGGCTATCTTCATGAACTGTATTTTCAGGGAGCAAGTTACTGAATCTCTCTAAGATTAAGTTTCCATAATCTTTAAAGTTGGAATATAAATATTGACTGCATAAGTTTCTTGGGATGTTGAGATGGAGAAAGAACAAAACGAGAGAATAGAAAAGAAAACACAGAAGACTGTGAGGTTGGGGGTGGAAGTAGGCTCATTGTCCCCGGGCCCTGGGATGGGGGTGTGGTATACCTGAGCCAGGCTTTTCAGTGCGAATTTTTTGGAAGCCAAGGCAATGAAGCTGAGCCCAAGGAACAGTCATACCTGTAAGACATACATGCGTGATCCTCAGATTTTCACATATGGAAGCTGTGGACACTTTAAAATTTTTTTCTGAAAAGCAAAACAAAACAAGAAAATCAGAGCCAATACTTAAAGACCAAGATTTCTGGACTGGAATAAAGTGTTAGGTTATTACAATTCTTTGAGTAGCCTGGGCTGAGCTGCGCCACCTCTCTGAGCCTCTCTCCCATCTCTGCACAGAAAATGGGTTAGTTAGGAATGCCACGAACTTATCTTAAGCATCTGCCTCATGCCTTGTCTTGTGCTGGACCCCTGTCCATGGGACCGCCAGGTTGTCCCTGTTACATGAGGACAAGGTGAACATGGGGGCAGGAATCACATAACCCAGTACACAGGAGATAGTGTTCTATCAGAGGTCCAGGTGCTACAAAGAAAATAATTCTGGGTGGTGGAAGAGGGGCTCAGGGAGGAGGTGACGTATGAGTGGGTATTTGCATACAGTGAAGGAAGCAGTCAGAAAAGTTGGCAAGAATCATGTTATAGGTGGGGTCAAAGAAAGCTTAATAGAGTGCCAGGGAAGGAAGTCAAGGCAGGCAGGAATTTGGACTTTGTTGGGAAATGTGGAAGCAACAAAACGATGCCTCTGTAGGGACTTTGTTTTCAGCTTACAGACACCTTTCATTTCTTCCACATTCTATATGCATTATGTATGTATATGTACGTAGTGTGTGCTACTGTATTCTTTTATGAGATGGTCAGTCAGGCGCAGAGGAGAGGCTCAGGAAAAAACAAAACCAAGTTTATTATATTCACAGGTCTTAGGGACAGGAGGCTCAGCACACCATGCAGGGCCACATGAGAAAGACCCCCGTGTGGTCAGGACGCGAAAGGGTGGGCAGGGGTGTGCAGTGCTTAGACCACAGGCTTTATTGGGGTTTCTTGGGAAAGGCCAGGCAGGCCAGGGTGAATGGCCTAGGAGTGGCCAGTTTGAATAATCTCCACAAGATGTGGGCCATTGGGGTGGTCCCTAGGGGTTGTCTTCAGGGTGCAAGGGCAGGATAGAGGAGGCGTGGCTCTGGATTGGTCAATTTGCATGTTAAAGACATGCTTCTGACAAGACAGGCCCTTGCTATCCCTAAGAACTGGAGCCAGAGACATTTTGTTTTGTTTTCTTACAATGTCAAAACATCATAATAAGCAGAAATTTAAAAAAAGATTGCACCCTTTTTTCTACATATCTTTAACTGCATGTCAGGTATACAGACAGGAGCACATGCCCTGGAGTTTCCTCTACTGTGGGAAAAAGCCCTTTATGACTAGTGTTGGCAGGGTAAGCAGATACCAGATGTTTCTCTGTCACTACTTCCTCTCCTGCACTGATGCCTAACCTGTCAGGCCTACTGGTGGGAGGATCAGCAAGAGGCTGAACTTGGCTGCCTATGAAGTCCAGTGCTGTGGGCTCTCTGATAGTCTCATCATCCATGTTTTGTGACGTGGACAAGACAGTTAAATGAACCTTGAAAATGAGAACAGAGGTGACATCAAAAGATTTTGGTCAAAGGAGTGACAATTTTCATGGGACATTAGGAAACAAATAGTGCATATAAATGGGCATGGATGTGTGTGTGAGAGAGAGAAACAAGGGGCATAGAGGGTGGGAAGATGGGAATATAGTCCCCAGTGAAGGAACAGGCTCAAGTAGGGCTTGGCTTCTCAGAGACTTCAAAGGAAGAGTGATATGAAATGAAATCAAGGGTTGAAACCCTGGCAAGAGTTAGAAATGGGGTTTAAAAAAATGCTTTTCCAGATGAATATAGCAGGACCCGCTGTAGGGAAAATGAAAGTTCCACAGCCAGGACCCTCACCTGATCCTAATCTACTCACCCATTACATATGTGCAATGATGTAATACTTAGCCTACCACAGGTGCATGCTTGTATACCTGTTGGCAATAAGCCATTACTGCCGGTATTGCTATAAAAAGAGGTTCCTTGGTGCTAAGAACAAAGCCTAGTGAAGAGAACAAGGGAGCAGGAGAAAGGGGAGAGCAGAGGCTGGAAGTGAGGGAAGAGCCTAGGACAGAGGCTGAGCCAGAGGCAGAGACAGAGGTGATGGGATGGGATTCTAGCACTCGACCTCCCGCAGTGAGAATAAAGCTTGGTATGAGCCCCTTTTTAGCCATGACATACCATTGTCATTATTTGGTCTCACCCAATCCAGAGTGAGCTTCCCTGGGGCTGAAACCCTCAGGCGAGACACTCCTTCATTCCCTGTTTCATATCCAGCAGTTTCAGTTATCTGTGAACCGCCTTCTGGAAACAGACCTCTTCCTTCTGACTCATTGTCAGAAGGTCAGTAGCAGCCTAATGCCAGGTCACAGTGCCTACGTTGTTCACCCCATTTCCTCTTGTCACATAGGCATTTGATCATCTCCCATCAACACAAGAAGGCGGAGTACAGAACAATAAGATATTTTGGGAGAGAGACCATGTTTGCATAACTTTTATTATAGTCTATTGTAATTGTCCTATTTAATTATTAGCATTGTAGTTAATCTCTTACTTGGCCTACTTTATAAATTAAGCTTTATCATAGGTATATATGTAGAGGGAAAAACCCCATATATATGGGATTTGGTACTCTCCATGGTTTCAGGTATCCCCTCAAATAAGGGAGGACGACTGTGGTAGAACCCATTTACCCACCCCCCATGGCCTACTTAACCTTCCCATGTGTTCTGTGTGCACAGGAACATGGCACACAACTTGAGGCAGGAATGGGTACTTTTCCTTGGGTGTTTGTCTTACCTGCTACTGCAGCATTTACTTCAAGGTATGTTCTGGGACCTTCCCTGAGGGGTCTTAACCCTGGCAGCTAGTACAGATTGCAGAAGGGCTTTCGCTAAGAGGGGTCTACCCAGAGCACACCACTGCTTCATGCCTTTGCAAAAATATTCACTGAATACCTGAAGATTAAGAGTTTAGAACAAATGATGGAAGAACTCTTTCCTAATTAAGAAAGGCACTGCCTCAGTGTGGTTCACCCATGGAATCCCACAGAGTGCACAGCAGGGTACCTGGTAAAGTGGTACATGGGTACATGGAAAGGGCAACAGAAACAGCCCAACTCACACCTATGCAAAGTACATGAGTCACTTCTCATGTTTTGGGTGTTCCTGCTCTATTTTGAATTGAATTCCCTAGGCTATGATAAAAGTACCAAAGTACTGCTTTAAGGGGTGGAAGAGGGTGAGGTTAATTCAAATTAATTGAGACTGACAAGATTATTCATGGGAATCCAAGCGATATTGCACAGTGATTTGTCAGAGGTCACGCTGGTAAAGTCATTTCCTTAATCGCAATGACCTTTAAGTTGGGTTTTTTTTCTAAGTTGGGTGTATTTTTTTCTTTCATCTGTGAAGAGTATGGTTTCAGTAAGTTGTAAAGTTAGGCTTTCACTAGCTGAATCTAAGGAGAGAGAATAAACAGGGTGAAGTTTGAATGTGGCACTTTCTCTTTTCTGATACAGACATAAGAAAATAGGCAGTATCATGATGCTGGGCTTGTCAAAGTCACCTCCATTCACTCCCCTCACCCATCCCTGCTCCCAGTTCTCCTGAAATGATCTACCCAGCAACCTAGTGTGTGAGTATCCATGTTTTCCATGCTGGCATAATTCAATGAGAAAACCATATGATCTCCATATACAGGAAGGTGTACATGTTGGGTCAGGTGATTCTTTGTTGTGGGGCTGTGTGGTGCATTGTGGGACAATGGGCGGCCTCTCTGGGCTCCACTGCTACATGCTGGTAGCATCCCTCCCCAAGTTTTGACAGCAAAATGTATCTCCAGACCTCACCGAATGTCTCACAGTGGGCACAGTCACTCTTGTTTGAAATCACTGATATGAAGGTTAGTTTTACAACTTTTTTTTTTCACAAAAGGAATCATTTTGTATACTGTTCTGTATCTTGCTTTTCCCAACTGAAAATTAATGAAAAAATCTCTTCTAAGTCATCTGGTATAATACTATTTAATGATTTCTAATGATTGCTTAATATTCTGTGATATAGCATTGTCCTACAGGCCTATTCCACCACTCTTTTTCAATGGTTATTAATATGGTTTCCAGTTCTTGGCCTCCTAAAAACAATGCTGCATTGAACACCATGGTCTATGTGCTTCCACAGATTCCCAGAAATTGAATTGTGGCAAATGCATTTTGTTTTGTATCTTAAATATAAAATCACATGAGCAACATTGCCATTACTAGATTCCCCCCATTATCAAGTCCCTACCACATACCCCATGACAGTCACTGTCCATCAGTGAGGTAGGATGCTATAGAGTCACTACGTGTCTTCTCTGTGCTATACTGCCTTGCCTTCCCCATGCCATGCCTACGTTAGGTGTGCTAATCATAATGGCATATGCATTTTTAATTGTAATAGGTATTACCAAATTAACTGATGATGGCATCTGCAGAAAACTTTAAAAACTATAAATATCATATAAAATCATAATCTAAAACTTTAGTGGATGGACCTAGGTAGAAGGGATTATGTGATTTTTCTTAACATGAAAAGAAATAGGGGTAAATTAGAAAGTTAATTTTTTTCCAGTCCTCAAAATTAAAACTGTCTGTTCAGAAGGAAGTTCAGATTATCAGTTTAATTACACGATCTCTCAAATGTCTTATTTGTTAAAGTTTTTGAGTGAAGACATCAATTAAAATAAACCATGAAGGAAAACTTGTATGCCAAGAGTATTACTTTTTCCATAATCAGTATAACCTGTGTTAAGCATTTCAAGGCCAGAAATGAAAACAGAATTGGGGGACTAGGTCAAAGTTGTATTAAGTGATACAATAATAAAATATACCCAATGAGTTTCTTAGCATTAATGTTTACCTGACACTTTTCAGCTAACCTGATTAATCAAGTCAGCACAGTCTGAATGCTATCACTATTAAATGATTGATGAAAATAGTTCTCTTTTGGATACTTTGGACATTTTAATATACTATTTTATTCCCAAGTCAACCTGTCGGGATAGCTTTTAAGCAACATTAGTTCATTTGTTTCACTTTCCCCACTTTAGAGAGTTACCTGC